GGACCGGTGACGAGGTAAGATTACGGTCGGATTTTTAAACTTTTGATTTGGTTGTTTTGGTGCTTTCCATTGATAGTGTTATGTGCGAAGAAGAAGAACCCAAATCCTTGTTAGTCGGCGTTTGTCTGATGGTTTGAAAATGGTGTCGTTTGTTTTACTTTAGTTTTAATTGCTTTTCTTCCGAATTTGTAAGCTTGTAGTCATACGAATTTGGTAATTGGTTGATATAATTTGTTATTTGTAAGCTTAAGGAGGAATTAATTTCTCTGAACATTTTATAATATGTAAGGGTGATTTGGTGTTCATAATAAGTGGTGTCTTTTCACTTTTGGTGACTATAGTGATCTTTTTAAAAATCTGATTTAGGGAATTTTGTTTTAANGATACCATGGTCTCATTGAATCATTATGTTTGATGCAGATCTACTTTCTTTTGAATATGCCTCTGACCAAGGACACACTGCTTTATTCTAATGTCAAGCTCGACTAGTTTTTCGTGGAAGCTGTTTATTTTGTTATTTGAACTACCAGGAGGTCGAAACTGCAGTCCTGTGAGATAAATTATTGTGTATCTGCTCTTTCTTCCCTTCGAAATTGGGAAATTCAATCTATATTTTATGTGATTTTGTTCGATTCATTATTGGTGGTATGATCAAACTGGACATGTAATATATACCAAGGGGAGAAAAGCTCGGATTCTGGCGAGTGATGTGTGTATCTGAGAGCTTAGGCTTGGAGTCTGTAATCTGATGCTCTTAATAATGCAGGCACAAAAGTGTTGTTTTTTATTTATTTATTTATATAATAAGGCATTTGCTTGAACTTGTCGCTCTTTGGCATCGTCATTTGTTTCATTACTAACAAATCTGATAATATCATTTACTGATTAAATACACGAGGAGTCTTTGGAGACATGTTGATGATGGAAATGGATATTGCCTTATTTTTATTACCTTTTATTATTTCTAGGTAATTTTTCCATTTTGTTCAGAGTTTGAGGACCACGTTTGTAACTGCGATTAAATCGGAAATTAGATTTTGAGTACTTATTTGAAGCATAGGTGTAGAGAGAGTGGGCTTTTTATGAATGAAAATTTGTGCAATGTGACTTGCGATCCTTTCTCGGGATTCAGGAAATCAATGGAAATGTGATCATCGTGTTGCTTATTCCCTATTCCGTTGCATCAGGACAACATTTGTGTATCTATGTTACCTCAAATATCAAGCTACCAAATAATCCTAAACTTTGCCACCGTCGAGAATCTAGAAAGCACACGAAGTTTTCCTTAGTATTTATGTAATATTATTAAATGAATTTTTGCCAATAGCATTCTCTCTCTCTTTATTTTTATTTTTTGCTGAACGTGACACCATTTAATGTAATGCATTTTATTCTACCAATCATGCTTTGAGTGGAATATATTTGAAGTGATATGGCTCGAAACCCACGATTCTTTAATTGTTTCATATAAACATCAAACCCTATATTATTTACATAACATTTCGATGGAAAATGTTCACTTGTTTCTTTGCAACAACTCTTTATTCTTCTCATTACACATGCATATCAAAGAAGGGACAAGGAAAGCAAATGCGAGGGAGCTAGAAAATTTATTTCCATGCTATCCAGAAATCCTTAATTTTGAAAAGATCCCTTTTCTTCGGTTTCTCGCATTTTCTTTTGAAACAAAACCTGTCTTTGCAGGTCGAAACTCAATTCCTTCAATTACGAGGTCAACCTTAGATCTTTCATCACTTTTCAACAGCCCTGCCTCCACTGGGCCATCAGATCCTAGATCATTATAAAACATTCCCAATTGTAGTTCCATCCATCCGTCGGGTCTACTCACTGCAATCTGCTGACTTTTACCCACCAACCCTGGTCGAAGGTGCAACGTAGTAGCTCGCCTTTCGGCATCACGATATTCATCAAGATTAACAAACCAGATAATCCCTTTAACTGGTTGAAGGTCCTTGAAATCCTTTTCTAATCTATATACGAGATAAGCTGCATAACGAGTCTTCGGGGACAACATTTGTGTTTCTATCTTCCCTCGGATATCGAAATAATCTCTGTGTTCTGCCACCATTGAGAATCTGCACATCATATAGTTGATATTCCCCTTATCAGAATGCAATTTCCAAATTAAATATAAAAGCAAAAGATTTGATGAATGATACCTGGAGTCCGCGTGAGGTGTCAATTTCCTGTAATAATTAAAATATCCATCATCGAGTTCCTTTGCTCCAATCATATAACATTTCTTCCCAGTAGTTTTATCAATATGAAAGCTCTGCAAGTTTCAATGTTCAAATAATTACTCCTTAAAATATGACAAAATTCATTTTGTTTGTATATTT